TCCAATATGTTCTTCACACTCATTTCCACTTTCAAATGTCAGTAAACAGTTGATGGATCGTCGCAACTGTGTTTGTGTTTCTAAATTGTCTTTGCTTTTATTCACATTCTGATCGAGCCATAAGAGAACAAATGTTTCTAGATTCTGTCCTTGTTTGTGATTTTGCTGCTCAATGTTTGTGTTTGTCCATTTTGTGGGTTGTGGGTTGCTTGACGCCATCGACGCTAGAAGAAAGAACTTCGTGAATGTCAAAGCAGATATTGATGGTAAATGATAGTTGCATCTCGTGTGATCGAATCAAGACAAACAGCGTTTGCCTTTGTGATGCTTACGTGCTTCCCTCAAAAGTTCTAGTTTTACTTGTTTAGACTGATATTTTTACTCACAACAATCAGTGCAACTTACACTTTTATGACGAGAAATTGTTTACGAACACATGGAGCAAGAAGAAGAATGTGCTCTGTTAGAAGTTTTCTGTTGACGTAACTGAAGAGAAGAGAAATGTACTGCTTTTGTAGAGAGCGGATGTAACAGAATTAACAAAAAGTTATATTCTTTACTTGTAACTTTCACCATCACCTACCTGTTTGCGCAATTTTTGAAGTGTAAAGAAATGGACAAAGTCGACGAATTTTTCTTCCATTGTGTATCACTTTTCTTTTTCCATTCTACGATTCAGCGTTATGTTTGCATGCTTGATCACAATAGTTTTCATCGTTCATTTAAATTTATGAAAAATGCCGAAGTAATCTTTGACAATCGCTCCTAAAGGACTCTCAAGAAACTGCTGTCTGATTGTTCTAATGTTCAATAGTTTAGAGCGTTTTCATTGATTTATAAATGGTTATCTGGGTCGTAGACACCAGTTTCTCGAGAGTCCTTTGGGAGCCATTGTCAGAGATTACTTTGCCATTTTTCATAAAGGCGCCTATAAGTTTCAGTGTAATTTTTGACTGCGGAATGGGATATATGTAAATGCATTTTGTCCCTTAATGTTTTTCTATGCTTTGCTGTGCTTGTATAGTTCAAATGTTGAGTCCTCTTCTGCAGAGGAAAAGTATCGCTTATCAGGAGTTTAATACAAAATCTCTCTACTTTATGAGTTAAACCGAAATGAATTAGGGAGTATCCATTTCTACTCTTTATCCTATTTGAAAGAGAAAATGTTCGACAACGTGTTGAGCTAAATTTCAGAAATAGACACCATTCGATTTTTGAGATATAGGGCCATGAATATCACGCGTAGCATCATCAAAAAATAGAATTTTCGATGAACTATAACTATAATAACTAGATTATGTTATCATATAAGATTCAGATAAAATGTTTCGGAAATAGATCAGTCTATTTAGAGTGATGACTTTTATGTGCAGTATGAAGAAATGAAATTTTAAGAGACTTATAATTCGACACATATCTTTTTCAATTAAATTTTAGTAATTTCACTGGAAAAACTTTTGGGCTTCTCTGACTGTGATATTCCGAAAAGTGATCGAGGTGATTCCAAATTCGAGCACTTTCTAAAATTAAAGTGAAATCCATACATTTTACTAACTTTAGTCTAATATTGAGATGTCTATATCTTAAAAAGTAAAAAGCCCTTTTCCAAAAAATAGGTTGACATAGAGTACAACTTGTGTACTTAAAACTATCAGAAAAACTGGAGAAGGATACCTTCCCAAGCAAAACAATGCCTTTGAGATTATCTAGCTATAAAAATATGTTATCGGGCAATATCGGCTTGTGATAGCTAGCTATCCGTACCACTTTTATTGAGTTAGCTAGCTATATCGAGTATGATAGCTAGCGACTAGATATCGTACCCGATATATCGGGTTGACGAAAAACACTGATCAGAGTAGCTAAAATCAGAGTAAGAGTTTTCTCTAGAAAAATGCAACACTGCGACTGATGGCTAGATCACAGCTGTGCTTTTTTAGACAGTTAAATAAAATCAGAAAAAATAGTGATTATAATTGGGTTTTTTTATTTATTTTTACGTGTTTCAGATTTTCTACGATAGTCAAACGATCATTAAAGAAACCTCCAGCGCAGAATTCAACCGAATCCACGGATCCACCGTCACATTCGATTTCTACACCAATATTCAACTATTTCGAAATAAAGTGCTTCATCTATTTCAATCGGCAATGATAATAACAGTAATAAAGATGGTGAGAATGATAAAGAAACAAAAGAAATAGACGAAGAGGATATTTTGTTACCTCATTTCGATATGGGTGGGCTAACAAAAATACGTCAACGACATTATCAAAGACAGAAACTGATGAATGCTGCTACCGTCGTCTCAAAACGAGGTAATTCGTCAGATGAATTATTAATTCCATTGAAACGTCCTTCACGACCGAAGAAGAAAGAAACAAAAACAACAACACCAACACATCATTCACCACCACCTGATCAACATCGTCCAAGGCGATATATTTATAATAAATATAAGAAGGCGAAAAGTAAAAGTAAGACGAAGACAAAAAATACTAATAATAACAATAGTAATATGACGACGACTACACAGCTTACTATGACTACTAATACTAACAATAATAATAGTGAATCAAGTGACAAGGACGGTATAACAGATCCAACTACTAGTTCATCTATGTGGAAACACTTTACAAGAAATGAAGAAAGAGCGAAAGTAAAATGTAACCTTTGTACAATCAATTCCAAAGAATTTAAAACAAAAACTGAAAATACTTCAGCTTGTCGTCGACATTTGTTTTCAGTTCATTATCTTAAAGAATTTGCACCCGCCAGTGATATGAATGCACAGCTATCAATAACACCATTAGAAAAGAGAGAATTGAATCAATTATGCATAGAAGGCATCATCGAAGACGGTCGTTCATTTGAAGATTTGAGAAGAAGCGGTATGATGAAAATTATTAATGGACTACTTCCAGATAATTACTTCGATACACACTAGACTCTGAGAGTTTTAGCTGCACACAGACGATTTTGGGTTCAGATCGCACGGTCTCAATGTATAATTCTTTTGATACATCGTTTTTCGTAGGGAAAGCATGCTTTCTTCGGGACAGTGATTTTTTAACAGAAAAAGTTGGCGGTGCTTAGAGTAGGGAGTCCACTTTTCGGGTAAAAAGTGTGGGCTTCAACTCCAGTCTCTTTCTGGCATACTTGTCTCTGAGAGAAAACGCATTTTAATTTCGATGAAATTGGTCTTGTGAAATTATCAAAGAAAAAGACTTATATGCGTATGGGGCGTATGCATATGGGTAAACATGTACTTCGTTTACCCAAATTTTTTCTTTTAAAATCATTCTATAAGATACTCATTATTCTGACCATTCTGTACGCTTTTAGGCTTTCGTTCACCTCACAGAAATACTGTACAACGATCACTCAAACGTTTATATAACAATAAAAGAAGTACATTGAAACAACAGTTGAAACTTGTTCCAAATCTGTGTGATACTACAGACTTTTGGTCTCATAAAAGAGCCAAACCTTATTTGGATAAGCGTGAGTGACAAGATATACATTTCTCGATGCAGCTTTTGATGCCGATTGTACGTTTCTTTCATGCTGAAATTATTTGGTGAAAAATACCTCCTTGCTGCATTTTCGGTGCAGTTTCTTACTATAGCAAACTAGAGTTACGGAACGTATCAGCATGGAACTGATTGTCATGGAATGGTGTACTTCAAATAGTTTTCGGGCAAGTTTTTTAACTTGCAGGGAATTTGAAATATCAGTTATTTCGCAGATCTCCATCTATTTGTTCTCAACGCCGATATAGGTTTTCTTTTGAAGTATGAAGTATGAAGTATGCAGTACTCAAAGTGATCATACATTTCAGATCACTTTGAAGGTTCTACAACATGTCCCTTAGATATCAAAACTTTTAGAATAGGAGCCAATGATGAAAAATCCTATGTTTCGCTGGGAATATATATTGCCTGTAATGTTTTTCAAAAAAGATAGGGAGCTGCGGTTTTTATTATTGAATTTAGCATACAAAACTTCGTTTATGGTTCGTTACTGGCAGCACAACTTTTGTATAATTGTGGTTTGTTTTGTAATTTATTCATCTAGTGTTAACGGGACATTTCGTTACAAATGACTATAAATTCAATTCAACAGTACTAAGCTTTCATCATTCAGTCAGCAACATATGGCCGCTAAAATTAATGAGGCTATTAAACATGAATTACAAAAATTACACATTGAAAATGAAGTTAGTACAGTTACGTCAGATGGTGCTGCCAATGTGAGATTGGCATTAGATGTATTGAACACAGATACAAAAAGAATTTGGTGCATGGCACACCGTCTCCATTTAGTCGTTACAAATGGTCTTTGTCTATGGTTGAAAAATCGCAGTGGTGGTAATGATGAAGATTTTTATGATGATAGTATGACATTAATTTCAACAGAAGATGATAATGATATACAAAAAAATAGTTCAGCAACAACAATGAACAGTTCAAAGTATGTCAGTGTAGTTTATGTTTAGAAAGCTTTTGAAGAGTACTACTTCTGTTCAATGTTGCATCTTACTTTAGTAAAGCTACCTTCCTGTTTACCGAGTATTATTGCAGACAGGTCTTTACCGCTCTAAACAAAAGGTTTCTAGCACAGGTTAAGTGTGTCAAACTAAGGGCGTTAGGCAGTGATTTAATTTACGCTGATTTGAATAAGCAAAACGAAAAATTCTTAAATAATACTCAGAAAAACTTTTTGCATTGAATTGTACATCACATAAAATTATTTTCGCCTTTCCCGCACTGCAAAAAGTTGCAGACGGAAATATCTATCGGGGTTAACGGTGAGCTCTAACGTCGATGGATGGTTTTAAACGGGAGAAATGCTCAGAAATATCTTCGAAAATCGAAAACACGAAATTTTACTATGAAACGTACTATATAGCATGCTTGGCTAACCGACTTCTGCAAATCTAAAGGTTAAACACTTGACTAATGTTCGATAAAATTGAGAAGTAAATCATTCGAAGCAGTTTTTGTACTTGATTTCTGACATCGATCTTAAATCCGATGCTGACACTGTAAAAAAATGAGTTTCCTTGACGCTCGGATGCGCCATATACATAGAGAAGAGACTACATTCAATTTGATCCTTTTTGTCAAAGATTGTAAAGAAATATAGAGCCTCTAGTGTTGGAGCACACTGAATTGCTTTATAGTCATTTGTCTTTCAAATCTCTGCTATTCTAGTCAGCAACAAGATGATAACGATGGTGAGATTATAATGGATATAGGTAAGGGAGATAGTTCGTCAGAGGAGGAGGACGACAATGATGATGAAATAGAAGATGCCGATGATGGAATGAACGATCATTGGGATAAAGGTGTGATATGTGAAGAAAATGGTGATATGGCAACTTCTGTAAGATCGACGACTGGAACAACAGCAACGGAAATAATAACAGAAGAACAAGAAT